ATATATAGTCTTTTCTCTTCAAACTGTTCAATGTTCCACTCCAGCTAGGCCCAGTTCTAGGAGGTGGGAAGAGTAGGATGAGTAAACCGGATGAGTTCTCTGACACCATGATGTTGGTGTTCTGTGTAACAATAAACATGAGCCAACCCAATGATAATGTAACTTAAAATAATAGTAGTTTGTGGAACTCTAGGCTCTTCTTGAAAGACAGATGGGAGCTGAATTTGAATTAGTAAGGAAGATTCATGCTAAATGGGGGAAGTGATCAGACCCCTTAAACTTAGCTTACATCCAGGCTTGGAAAAGTCCTGGAAACTATTATCAGTACAGTTGACGAAATCAGGATTCAAAGAACACAAAAGTAGCAGGGATGTAGAGCAGGGCACAGAATGGAAGCTGTGAAAGACAGTGGGAAGAAGTCAAACAGGGCCGGAGTAGGGGACTTCAGTGTGCAGGTCATTTTGGGTCATTGTGCAATATTTGGCTTTCTGCTTTGTAATGAGAAGTCATAGCGGTATTGGATGAACAAAGGTTACATGAAGTGACTGTTGCAAAATAAAGAGGACATCTTCCTTACAGATGTTAGTAAGTAAAATACTTAGAAATCTATTCTAATAACACTTGGGAAGGATGATGGTACTGGATAAAAGGAGACTACGTTGAAGGAGAAAAATGGAATAAAATAATTATCTTAAATATGAAATCCCAGTAAGTAAGTGGTGATCAGAATTCCCAAAGGCACCTAGTACTTTATCTGTGTGGTGGAACTGTGGGCATTTATGAAGAGGACTGAATGAGGCAGAGACTCATTTAGTAGGCGGCTGGAAATCCAAGTTCTCTTTTCAACTTGCTTGCTAGGTTTCTAAAGGAAACTTTGGCATAGGTTCTTAAGTCTTCTGTGGTGCTATCTATGATATATCAGGGAATAAATAAGATCTGAGGATTTTTCTTTCATACAGTTGATCTTGGATGTCATGAGATTGCATGAGCTTCCTTTGAGAAAGGTGGTAGTTAGGGGATTGGGCCTAATTGTAACCCAAAATTTAATGAGCAGTAGTGTGAGGCAGAAGCCTGAGAAGGAGGCTTACAGCACTTTAAGGAAAGCACCAGAAAGGTACCCCGTCAGGCAAAGCCTGACTTCCAAGTAAGCAATAGGGCACTGTGCTATTGCCAACTGCACTAACTCTTCTCATCTTACTTCAACAGACAGTTCTGCCCCAGAAACCACAAGTATGAATACCAACGACAGTGGTGTCAACTGTCTATGTGCCATCTGTGGGGACAGAGCAACAGGAAAGCATTACGGGGCATCCAGCTGTGATGGCTGCAAGGGGTTTTTCAGGCGCAGCATTCGGAAAAGTCACGTTTATTCCTGCAGGTATTGAGCGCTCGTTTTTGGCAAAGTTTTCTTCATTAGTGTCTAAAGATGTCATAAGGGAGTCAGGAAAGTAAATTGAGCTCTTCCATGTCTCCATAACTCTGAACAAAACTGCCAAGCTTCAAAGAGAGTGTGACTGTATGTGCAGTTCACGTCCACACTGGTAGTTCCACGCTATGAACAATTTGAAACCTGTAAATGTGTATAAAGACATTCATATACCTACCACCCAGTTTAGAGCAATATAGTTGAAGCCTCCAGTGGACACCTCCCTGGCCATTTTGTCATTCTCTCCAGTGTTACAGGGGCAACTACCATCGAGAATTTAGTGCTAATCTTTTCCTTGTGTCTCTTTATTGTTTTATCACATGTTCATATGCCACTAAACAGTTTTTAAACCTGTTTAAGAAGTTCCTTAAGGTGTGTAGATTCATTTTTTAATTTTCCTTTCAGGCTCAATACATCCTCGATCTTTAAGAACAAAATTATAAAATTAAAGATGATCTTGTAATTACAACTCAAAGGGTGAAATTTGATTTTTTGCTTCAAACTACTTCTCATGTTAAATTTTTCATAATTAACAGTGTTTTGCCTAAATCTTATTTAATTACTTGATATGTCCATACATTCCTACTAGTCTTTTTGCTATTACCCAGTCAATATCATAGACCAGTTTAAGTATTTATCCTGAATGATTTCTACAATAATTCTTGAATATTGTTTAGGTTGGACGTGAGCTTTTGACACAACTCACTGATTTTAACATAAGAAAAACTATTTTAACCTCAAAGGAACTAGAAAAAAATAAATAAAAAATTATGTTTTTGTTGTCTCAGTATTAGACAGTATCACTTATTGTCACTGTTACTGTTTGGTTGGAATAGAGATTAAATTTGGGTCCCTCCACATGCTAGCCAAGTTGTCTACTTCTCCAGTTCTGCAATGCTGTTCTAAAAATAAGTTGGGCATTTGAGAATTACCAGTCTGGTAGCATTTGACTTTTCAAGCTGTAATAAAAGTTAATACATAACTCCACTAATATTCACCTGGTGTTGTCGTGTAATATTTGCAGGGGAGTTTGATGTAAGTTTATAAAAATACAAATCATCCACTTTTGAAATCTGACCAAGAAAAGAACATTTAGATGGTATTGTGTTTGAACACATGGGCATTTCATAGCTAAGCATGAATCATCTCCTCTACCAAACACATCTTCACTATGGTTACCTGACACACATAGAGTTCTTCACGTTAGCATCTAAGGAACAAAACAGCATAGAAGTTCCATGGTTTAAAGTCATGTGCACCATTAAAAGTAAAACACATCTCCATGAAAAGTGATGGCTCTGACAGTGGAATCTGATGACTTGTATATTTCCTGTATGGGGCGAGTAGGGAAAAATAGCTCCCAGGAAAGTTTCTGAGGAGTAGGGGCAGGTGGGACTTTTGTCCCTTCTCACCATGGGTGCTGTCAGCCGGCTAAGCACCTTCACAGTTTTGTTATCAAGCAAGCTCTGTGATCTCTTTTTAAATCGTTATTATATGGATGCAAATTAAGACACTATAATGTCTTTTTAGTAAAGTTTGCTTGCCTCAAAGGCATCCCATTTCTTAGACTGATAAATTTTAATTTGGCTTTAACAGTCCTGTGATGCTGAAGCTGGCCTTTTCCTTCTAAAGTACACAAATCTTCTACTTCATTACTGTACATAGAATGTTTTCTATAACATTTGTTAACATTTCTGTGTACTTGTTACACTGCAGTTTCTTTTGATGGAAAATTTAGGCAGCATTCATATATTATGTACCTACATCAATATCCTGAACATGTTAGGAGCTTAGTAACATATGTTTCTTTTGTTGTACTTGTTGTTTAATTAATGTTAACTAAATGTATTCTCCTTATGGTTTTTGGTCATTTGATTTCCTCCTTTGAGACTCTATATCCATATATATATATATATATATATATATATATATATATATATATATAGTGCCTTGTCTTTCCTTACTGAGAGTACAGCTTACTTGTAGCCTTATTCTTATTAATGTTGAATTGTTGCCCACAAATTTTTGTTTTTTGCTGCCCACAGCTTTCAATAGGTCACAAAACACGTGTTGCTTTCCTCATCATTTACTAATCATCTGTAAGAAATGAGGTAACAGCATCACATGTAACCAGGAATTTAGAGTTTAGCATAGACAGAATTGTGTGACTACTGCTCTCATCAATCAAGAGCAGCATTTACGTATGCTCTTAAGAAGTCCCTGTTAGAGTATCCTCCAGTTTCATCAACTCTACGGCAGTGTGAGGAAACTGTTACTCTGCTTTCTGTTTCTATAGATTTGTCCTCTTTGGACACCACATTAATGAACCATGCACTATGGGCATTTGGTATCACCTTTATTGGATGTGTTTTCAAGGTTCATCAACAGTGTAGCATGTCTCTTGGTGCTTCATTCTTACAAACAGATACTACTATTCCATTGTCTGGGATTTTTATCTGTTCAGAACTCTAACATTTTCCTCACTAAAAGTGTTACTTTCTGGGCATGGTGGCACATGCCTTTAATCCCAGCACTCAGGAGGCAGAGGCAGGCAGATCTCTATGAGTTCGAGGCCAGGCTGGTCTACAGAATAAGTTCCAAGACAGGCTCCAAAGCTACATAGAGAAATCCTGTCTTGAAAAAATACACAAAAAAAGCTACGCTAGACATAGATTTTTTTCCCATGGGGGGGGGGGATATGTACAATAGCCCGGAATTGCTGTGTCTTACGTGTAGCCCTTTATTTATCTTTTTGAAAGACCACTAAGCATTCCTCCAAAGCAGCAGAAGCATTTAATATTCTATCCCACAGTGTCTAAGGGTTTCAATATTTTTTTTTACATCTTCATCTACTAATGTACCACCCCCATCCCTGGGTTTTTAATAGAGAATAAACTGATACATCATTAAGAATTATTAAGAATACATTAAAAATGTATTCTCAGTGCAGTTCGTACTTGAAGTCATTTAAAACACATAGAATAAATGCATTTAAAGAGAAAAACATCATAATTGTAAAAGCTCTGAATCACTACACATTGTCCACTGTTCTGAAATTGTTTAGCAATAAACACCAAAAATTTATACGACAAAGATTTTAAAGCTGGGTTTGACTTTTGTGACTCATAATTATGTACAGCAGCCCAAAATGATGTAGTCATTCAGTTTTATGTTAGTATGAAGACTGTTTAAGAGGTGAGCTGTGTGTTATCATGTATGTGCTGAACATGAGATATTCAATCCTTAGAGAATTACTTTTCTACATGCTTTATAGTGAGCCTGATTTGCCTGTACTTACTTAAAGTCTCACTGTTTGCAGATGTGATTTCTTTGATAAATGGTGCTTTTCTGTGAGCTAATGTGTGCTTCCTGCTACAGGTTCAGTCGCCAATGTGTTGTTGACAAGGATAAAAGGAATCAATGCAGATACTGTCGATTACGAAAGTGTTTTAGAGCAGGAATGAAGAAAGAAGGTAATAATAACGATAATGATGATGATGATGATAATTAACATTATTGATGAAAATTGATAACAATGTGCAATAATCACATCATCTAAGCTCTGATTTCCCTCAATATATTAATAGGGAATCTGTCAGAGTTCCTCAAAGTAAAGAATTTAGCCAGTTGTGCAGTAAGTTGTAGAGTTTATCTGCTCTGTTTCTCACACCACTCGCTACATAGGCAAAATCTATGGATCTTAAAATCTGAAGACTAAAGCTATGGATGTATGGCATGCACAGTTTTCATTCTTAGTAACAACTGGGTATATTTACTTATCTCATGAACATCACCTACATCTTTTTATACATTCCTCCATTTAAAAATATCTGTGGACATTGCTGTTTCCCAAATACTGTTCCAGGTACTGAGATTTGAATTTTGAACTTGATAGACAAAATAATCCTCCATCTTGAAAATTTTATATTCTATTCAATAGCAGAAGCAGTGCAGATATGGTTTTAATATGTGTTGTTTTATTTTCATCAGGTTAAGTCATCTCATTCTATCTTTTCAATTCTGATATGATTAGAAAGGAGAGTGTTACACATCTCCAACATCTGGTAGACTTAGCAGCTGTAACAGTTTTTGCCTATAGTTTATCGAGTGCCTCTGTCTGTCACATGCAAAGAGCTGTTTTCCACAAGTGTATTACAAACTTAAAAAATAAAGTTAAATCTAATCATGATGCTGTAGAAGTAAGAAAAATAAGGAATCCATCTCAGACATAGCTCTTTTTCACTTGACTCAATAATTTAAAATTATGGAAATTTTGTTAGCTGTTATTATGTTGCTAAACTTAAAAGAATATTACAAAAGTAAAGTTCACTAAATTAAAGAGGCAATTTCTCCTTTAACAAGTGACATAGCTAATGTCCTAAGAGCTACATTAGGTAGTTCAAAGAAATAATTGTACAATTTATAAAATATCTTTTTGACTTATTACCTCCTACCAATCTTTACCTTATAAATTATAAACAATACCAAGCCTACACTTCCCTTTTGAGTCTTACAATTTATGAAATAAATTTACCTTTGAAAATAGTGAAATTACATCTTTTAATGTTCATAAAATGATGTGTTTTGATTTTAATAAATAGGTCAAAAAGTAACTCTTGAGTTTCAAAACTGATGCCTCTCACTCTTCAATAAACAGAAAAAAACATATGAAATTAATTAAGGGGAAACAGAAATGTGGATTCATGTAAAACTTGAAAGCAGTAAATATTTTGTAAATATTTATGATATATTTCAGCATTTTTAAAGTTTGATCATATGAATGAAATTTAGAAAAGCAGAGGAATGTCTTAGTTTTCATGTCTTTTTTTTTAGTTTTCATGTCTTATGTGTATTTTCACATAACGGGAAATAATTTTAAAAAATGAGCTATTAGTAAGTGTGATTTTTAATATAAAATGTTAAATATTTGATCTACCATAATGATGTCTCTTTTAGACAAAAGCCCATTATTTTTGTCTGCTAACTTAACAGGGTCATTAGCTGATACTTTTAGGTCTCTGTGACATTGATGTAAAAATTGTTGAATTTTTCTGTTGGAAAAAACTTTGGTGGTTTGATATCCTTCCTTCCTTCCTTCCTTCCTTCCTTCCTTCCTTCCTTCCTTCCTTCCTTCCTTCCTTCCTGTTTTTTTTTTTTTTTTTTTTTTTTTTTTTTTTTTTTTTTTTTTTTTTTTTTTTTATTTTTTTTTTTTTTGGTTTTGGTTTTTTGAGACAAGATTTCTTTGTGTATCTTTGGAGTTTGTCCTGGAACTTGCTCTGTAGGCCAGGCTGGACTTGAACTCACAGAGATCCACCTGTCTCTGCCTCCCGAGTGCTGGGATTAAAGATGTGCACCACCACTGCCCAGCCAATATCAACATATTTCTAACAGAATTAATTAGAGAATTTATTGACCTAAATAACTGAGGGACTATAGGTCTTCTTTTTTCTTTTGTCTTTGGTTAATGGAAGTTCATTTTATGTCCTTATTTTTGAAATTTAACTTTGATATCTGACATTTTTATTTGAGTATTTATGCAAATTGATGGGGTTATGCTTCTTTTTTCCCCCTTATGCTTAAAAATTTGGTTTTCAGTAATAGTTTTGGACATGTGCATATTTGTTCTTTTCTCTATGAATCACGGAAACAGGACTACTTCTCTCAGTAGTATGATGTAAGGTATGATTTAATAGTTCTGAGAAGCAGGTATTCAGGTCTCTATCTTCTAGAGGGATACCTCAAATTGTGCATTGATTTCTGAAGTGAATATCTGTAAACATTGCTTTATAAAAGATCACAGATTTGCTTAAGCCTTCTTAACTAAAATAAATTTACTCTCCATATGGTAGGTGTTTTATGGTTAAAAGAAATAGGAATTTCAGAAAGTATGACTCACTCACTTCTGACAGTGACTTATCTTTGACCTGGCCAACCTGGCAGGCGATGTTCCTTCTCTAGCTACCTTACAGCTTTAACTGGGAGAGAATAAGAAGCCATCTTATTAAAAACACGGCATTTCAAAAGGGAGTGACCCAAAAGTTCGCAACCATACAATCCATCATGAAGCCCAAGCGACTCTATTTTATGAGTGCTGGTGACAAACTTGCCTATTCCTAGTTGTGAAAGTAGTTCAAGAAGGAAAAAAAAAAAAAGCAGTCTTGCCTTTTACATTTTGCCTTTTGAAAGACCATGTAATTTTCCTTATTTCTTGCTGTATATCCTAGCCCATATTAGAGATCTAACTAATAGCATCTATAATTTTTTTTCCTTAGCTGTGCAAAATGAACGCGACAGAATAAGTACCAGAAGAAGTACATTTGATGGCAGCAACATCCCTTCCATAAACACTCTGGCACAAGCTGAAGTTCGGTCTCGACAGGTACCCACCACACCTCGGCATAGGCTCCGTTCAATAGAATCTAATGTCTGCTGATGCAAAGTGCTGTAATCTGAGCTCACTGTTTTGGGCTCAGTGCTAAAGTTAACCTAGACAGGCTCAGACACATCACTTTGAACACAGTAGAATTGTTGACTTTGTTTTGAATTTTGTTGAGCAAGACCCTATCTTTAAATTGTTTGACTCTTTATTTATGAGGCTGAGTAAAAATAAAACATAATTCTCTAGTGACAATATTTTAGTCTAGTTGAACTGCTCCAATTTTGAAGGACTTTGCCATCAGAACTTCTTCTCTTAAAATTTATGTCTGAACTCAAAATGTCAACTCACTACCTCCTTAAGGAAGAGGTGTTTTTATGAGAATTAAAGGTAGAATTCTCAAAATGGGGAAGAAAGTAAATCATTATTTTCAGATTTTAGAATAAGAATATCAGGTGTAAAGTTAAAGTGGTAAGTCACCCATTTTACATAGAAAAACCAACCATTTAGGGGTCTGTCATATAATCTTTTGAAGAGAGTATATTTTATCATTGCCTTTATTGGAAATGTTCAAGGTATTTGTCCATGACAAAGCAAATTATGAAATAGCTAAGTTGTTAATCAGGTCCTGTAAGGAGGCAGTGAGTCTACTTTCATTCTTGATAACACTGGGGTAATATGATGAGGCTGACATCCCATTATCATCGCTATTACTTGCAGATTACTTGATGATCCAATAAGGCATTTAGAAAATGACTTAAAGGGGAACAGTGAGGAAACATCTGGGTTCACATGACAAATACACGCAAATGTACACACACGTACACATGTAAACCTATGGTTAATATTAATTTTACAAAACTTTAATTACGTAGGTTGCCTTTTCATGAGACAGCATTTTAAAGTATCATTTGTATTTTCATACAGTTGCAATTTAAAAATGATTATCATTATGTGTCAAGCATTTCACCATTGCCTAGTCAAAGGGTTGTTTCTTAATTTTATTTTTATGGTCTTATATTTAATGTAGTATCATAAATATTTCTAGTTAATTTCCTAAATATTTCCCACATTTTATAAATTTTATTCACTAGCTATTTTCATACAAATTAAAGAAGGACTTACTTAATGAGAATGTGAGTTTTAATTAAAAATAAAATCACGGTATTTTTTCTTGTGGTTACTATTAATTTCTTTAGATAACCAGGCTGAACTACAAAATTCCTGAAAAAGCCTAACCTGGTTTAGAGATGTAGTATTTAAAATAAAATTATGCTCTTAGAGTATGGATTTATATATACATATTTTCAATTTAACTTTAACCCAAAGAAGATTTTATTTTTCAAACTAAAGATGTTTACTATATATAAAAGCACTATGATAACGATGTTTTGCGCTCATGCTTTTTACTTTATAAATATAGGAGGAGAAGGTTAACTGGCTATCCAGTAGTTTCAATGATGATTAAATGCAATGTTCTGTTAACCTTAGATCTCAGCCCCAAGCCCCAGTGCAAGTGCTGACATAAACCTGAAGAGAATTGCAAGCATCAGTGATGTCTGTGAGTCTATGAAGCAGCAGCTCCTGGTCTTGGTGGAATGGGCCAAGTACATCCCTGCCTTCTGCGAGCTGCCCTTGGATGACCAGGTATGACTTAGAAGAAACCACGGCTCCCTGAGAAAGTGCTTTGGATAGTTGATAAGCTCTTGTCTTTGATTTATATTTCTAATTTAGTATATTAAACAATGGGTGGACTATTTTGTGAGTCAAGCATGGGTCTTTTCCTCATCTTTTCACCTCCCTATTCCATCAAGAGACAGGATGGTCTGGTGTCTATTGTCAGGCTCTGATAAAAACATTGATTGGTTAAGAGTTGATCAAGTAATTGTCTGTAGTCTTGGGGTTTAAATGTTACATGAGAAGGAAGGATAAATAACAAATAACCACATTTGTGCGGTTTTCTGGCTGTTAGAGAAGTAAATGTTTGTAAGTTAGAGGAAGGAGGTGGTGCGCTTTACTGTCTTTAGTTTCCTGAAGGTCCATCATTAGTGTCTTCAGAAATGCCTGGGAACTCCTTGGCAGAAACCAAACAGGATATATTGGTGTCTTTGTGGATCATTCATATAATTAGAATGTCAGGTTTTTCTCTCATTCTATCAGTTTTGCTCTGGCACTTATTGTATTGAAATATAGGTGTGACACGGTACCCACAGAGCTGAAATCTAAAAAAAAAAAAGGAAAAGAAAAGCAAAATAAGATATAGACTTCTTTCCTAACATATGCATTTTTAAACTTGGTATATTTATATTAAGAAATTTAATTAATAACTAGAAACTTGGATTTCCTAATTAGCATATAAGGATTCGTTTGGATTCGAGTCACTTTGAACTTTTCTAAAGAGTGTATACCTTTATTTATGGTTTCGTGGGAGCCTAGGCAGTTTCGTGGATGCTCACCTTACTAGACCTGGATGGAGGTGGGTGGTCCTTGGACTTCCCACAGGGCAGAGAACCCTGATTGCTTTTTGGGCTGATGAGGGAGGGGGACTTGATTGGGGGAGGGGGAGGGAAAGGGGAGACGGCGGTGGGGAAGAGACAGAAATCTTTAATAAATAAATAAATTAATTAAAAAAAAAGAAAAGCAAAAAAAGAAGTTAAAAACTGCAAAAAAAGAGTGTATACCTTTTCATAGATGAAAATTGTCTTAAAATCTCTATTTCTTTCACACTGAAAGAGTTAACCAAACCAAGACTTTAAGCCAGTGTGTGTGTGTATACATCCTCTGACCAATGTAGTCACTGACACAGAAAACTGTAACAAACATAAGAAAAACCAAGGGTGATTGTGTAAAAATCAAGAAAGAGGAAAATAGTCACACACCAGGACAGAGCAGAAGCACCAGAGGAAGGTAGAAGCTAAAGTTCTAACACCAGGACAGAGCAGGACCATCAGAGGAAGGTAGAAGTTACAGTTGTAACACCAGGACAGAGCAGGACCATCAGAGGAAGGTAGAAGTTACAGTTGTAACACCAGGACAGAGCAGGGCCATCAGAGGAAGGCAGCAGTTACAGTTTCTAGGAAGGCATTTTACTTGGCGACAGGAAAAAGTTCCATGAAAACTGAAATCATTCTTGCAGTGTTTTGTAACTCCCTTCCTGGAGTGAGTCACAGTTATGGACATGTCATAAAGATAGCTTGGCTCATGAGATTATGCCAGAGTGAATGATGCTAAATTGCTAAAACCTGCCAGTCTCACCCCAAGCAATATAAGTAGGGCTGTGTTATTTATCAGCGTTATATTTTTATTATCTTTCGTTTTAAAAATCCTGCTGACTTATATATAAAGACAATGCTTGAAATACTGGGAAATTGGAGACCAGTAACTAGTTTAAAAGTCTTTGTTTACTGCTCATTAATATTAACAACATAACGTTAGTAGTTATGGTTAGTGAATGTTATCTTTGAGGCACTGGGAAATGAACTCTCAAATGTATGATCAATTATGCTGTTCCATTTAATTCCTTTAGGAGCTCTGTGGGGTAGGTGTTATCTCCATTTTACAGTTCCTGAAACTGGACCTCAGATCAGTTTATCCCATCCATAAATCCACAAGATGACTATTTATTAGGAAACTACTGGTTTCAGTTAGGTGCTGAGGGGATCCAGCAGTAAAAGTGCAGATTGCTTCACTGGTCTCATAAACCTTGTGGTCTATTCGAGAGAGATTGACAATAAAAAAATATGCATAAGTTATGAGTAAGTTGACTCTAGGTGGGGATAGGTTCTATGAAATTCCATAAAATGGAGCAAAATGTGTTGAAGGATGAGCAGGTCTGGGAGGGAAGGACTTAGAGTGGGAATCTGAGAAGACATCCCCCAAGAACAGATTGGCGGGGACCAAGGTCGAGGAGAAGAATCCTGAGTGCGTGCACACTGCGCTCAAAGGTTCTCAGGCAGGTGGAGCAGCGTGAACAGTGAGTGCTGGGTGATAACGCAGGGCCGGGGCAGGAGGCAGAGGAGGGAATGTCTGCTCACCTCGTGTCACCTCTGAGGCCACAACGGAGAGATCTGGATTTGCTTTCAAGGACAATATGAAGCCACAATATATAGCCAAGGTGTTGTATTGATTGAGCTTCTCATATACACGTATGAGAAGATGCGTCAGCTGGGGAAGTAATAGAAAAGCTAAAAACAACCACTGAGTTTGCTGGAGTGGTCCAGGAAACAAGTGACAGCCTGGACCAGGATGGAAATCACAGAGAAGAAAAGCAGTGGATGGATTGGGTTTACACTTTAATCAGCATCATTGAGTAATTCGAATGGAGAACTCTCCAAATGGCCTTCTGTTCAGATGCAAACAATCCCATCTGGAAAACGGCACCATTCACTAATGCGCAGGGGACAGAGGAGAAGCAGTTGCTTGGGATGAGCTACTCTAATCTTGTTTTCTCTGGAGGCTCAGCACACAGCTGAGTGTAAGAATGAAGCTCTGTCCCAATGCTCACCGCTGTAAATCAGACAGCCAACCTAGAAACAGGCAGGAGCCAATCAGCTTCCCTTCTTCTTTGCAAGCCTATGGTTTGCTTTTGTTTATATAATTTATTATTTGCAGGAAATCATGTTTGTACATATTTGTACATAATTCTCAAGGCTACATTTGGTAATACATTTATATATGAAAACAAAGGAAATCCAAACCTATTAGTAAATATATGTTGGGTTTAAACAGGAATACAAGGGGCAGGCCACCAAACTGGGCTGTGAAGAAAAGTCTGCTCCATTCTGCTTGCCTTGAAAACAGAAGATCCATTTTTCTCTGCTACCCCAGAGCAACTGTTTCTGAGGTGCTAAGAGCAAAACCTAGGAAACCTCATCATTTTAAGTATGTATGAATATTGTATGCTAGGAAAAAAAAGGCAGAAAAGGAGGTAGGCATAAGGAACAGTGTAAGTTAATCAGACTCACCATGTACTGCCTTTTAATCATTATATTTTATAATTAATTGTTAAACTTCAAAACTTTCTTTAAGGTGGCCCTGTTGAGAGCTCACGCAGGAGAACACTTACTGCTTGGAGCTACAAAGAGATCCATGATGTATAAAGATGTTTTGCTTTTGGGTAAGATTTTTTTAAAGAAGAAATTATGCTTATTTTCTAGATATGATATGTGGGCTCTATTCTGCATGTACAAAGCACACAGTGGTGCTCTGTTTTCGAAGTGTGTGCTGTTTCTTCTGTCCTCCCTCAGCTCTAGTGTGGGGTGTGGTATGTGTGCATGTGTGCTCGTGCTTGTGTGTGTGTGTGTGTGTGTGTGTGTGTGTGTGTGTATGGTGCCTTGGGCCACCAGAGAACAATTCTGTGTATCCCTGAAATGGAATCAGGTCCTCCCACTTGGATGAAACCATCTTTACTCACTGGGCAGTCTTGCTGGTCCTACTTCTCTTTGTTTTGATTGAATGTAAGTTCAGAATACTGGGAAATGATGGGGAGACATTGAAATTGCAAAATGTGATAGAGATTTTGCTCCATAATCTTGATGCTTACTTGTTTAAGAAATAACTATTTAAATGTCCAATTATTGAATCCCCACGTCCTTTCATGCTCTATCAGAGAGTGATTAGTAGGCTAGTTTATACTCTTTTAAGGAACATATTTCTTTCCTATGATCTTGTTGTTCACAATACACTATAAACTAATTGTATTAGAAAGGGCGGGCAATGTCTGAAAACTACTGGTAGGTAGAATTGTAAGAATCAGCAAAAGTAAAACAGAGGTTGGGCGGTGGTGGTGCATGCCTTTAATCCCAGCACTAGGGAGTCAGAGGTTGGTGGGCCTCTGTGAGTTTGTGGTCAGACTGGTCTACAGAGCTAATTCCAGGACAGCCAGGGCTGTTACATGGAGAAACACTGTCTCAAAAAACTGGAAAAAAAAACAGTAGAAAAGAGTAAGTAGGGAGAAAAGACACAAGAAGACCCAGCATTCTCCCTGAAGACTGTCTCAGTCCTGTCCTGTTAACTGAAAAGTTTAGCTTCGGAGTGACATTTAAGTCCCAAATGTAAACGAATGGGACACGATGTAAGAGTGCTAAGTATTTATTGAACATATACACTTATTAAATGCTCTGCTTTAAGTGCATTGTGCTAACATACACTCTCTTGTTTATTCACTGAAGGTAAACCCTGCTATCATGCCTATTCTGCAATGAAGGAATAGAGGAAGGGAATGTTTTGATCATGATGGAAAGTCAGTCAGCCAAGACCTAGAATTCTAAACCATAATAGGGACAACAGAATGTGCCATGGACCTCAGCTACACATGTTGGTTGCATTTCTACCAAACATTGTAAATTCTGTTCTTTCTGTAAATCTTTTTATAATATAACCTGGAAAACAAGCATGCTATACCTCATTTTTCATTAATAACTAGGTCAACTCTTTTCACATGACAGAATAGAATGCTCATAAAGATAACTATATACAATGATAGGTATGTTCAGTTTGTGTGGCTGTGGTAATCATCTCTCTTTCCGTGTATGTGTATATACAAGCATTACATTTGCACACTTTAAATATATACGATATTTTAGTCCCTCACAAATCACAAAGCTGACATTGGATCTGGGAGATAGGTTGGCACTTCAGTGTTTGGATACTTTGGGACATTCACAATGTTGGAAAAGTACCTGAAACAATCAGCTTAAAAGGAGGAATGGTGAAACCAGGTATTGGTGGCTCACATCTTTAACCCCAGCACTCAGGAGGTAGAGGCAGGCACAACTTTGAGTTCAAGGCCAGCATGGTCTCCAGAACAAGTTCCAGAAAAGCCCTGTCTCCAAAACCCAACCGTTCAAACAAACCAAGGTGAAAAGTTTATGTGGCTCCCAGTTCCTGAGGTTTCTGTTTATAGGTGCTTGACCCTGTTGCTCTAGACAGGGGACAGCACAGAACACTGTGGAAGGCGTATTCTGCAGAGGACACTGTTCATATTAAAAAGAGAGAGAAATATAGTGTACATATACTCCCTTCAAAAGGACACCTTGAGGACTGGAGAGATGACTCAGGGGTTGAGCATTAACTGTTCTTCCAGAGGACCAGGGTGTGATTCCTGGTACTCACAAGGTAGCTCACAGCTATCTGTTCAAGGTGATCTGACAACCCTTTCCAGCTTCTGTGGGTACCCAGCACATATGTGCTGCACAGATAGACATGGACGCCAAATACCTGTGCAGGGGAAAAAAATCAAATTAAAAAAAGGGCATATCTTCAGTGAACTAACCCCTTCCCTTCCCTGAGGGCCTCAGTTTTAAAGGCTTTACTATTTCCCAGTGATGCTGTAAATTGCAGTTTAAAAATTCAATGTATAAGCCTTTGGGAGATATCCAAGATCCAGACAATAATGGTCACCTTTACCTACAGTGGGATAATTAAAAATATATCTTTTTATTTAGTACCAGGATATGTTTATTTTTAAAACTGTGATAAATATTTACTACCTTATACCCAGAGAATATCTAAGACAGAAGGATTTGGAGGGTTAGCTCTTCTGCTCTATCACATTTCCGAACTCCCTTGAACTCAGTTCAATAAACTGGCCAAGTCACCTCTATGTAAAGAAACTAAGTGTCTTAGATAGGATTTCTATTACTGTGATAACACGGACCAGAAGCTACTTGAGGAGGGAAGCGTGTACTTTGCCTTCATTTCCACATGACTTCCTGCGTCACTGAAGGACGTCAGGGCAGGAGCTCAAGCAGAGCAGGGGCCTAGATGCAGGAGCAGATGCAGAGGCCATGGAGGGATGCTGCCGATTGACGCGCTTCTCATGGCTTGCTCAGCCTGCTCTGTTATAGAACCTAAGACCACCAGTTTGGGAATGGCACCTCCCATTTCAATCACTAAAATACCCAATGGGTTTGCCTACAGCTAGATCTTATGGAGGTGTTTTTCAATTGAGGTTCCTTCTGCTCAGTTAACTCTAGCCTGAGTCAAACTGAAAGTAAAATCAGGTGGCAGAATAAGGAAGAAGAGCCTGGGGTGATGGCTGAGGGGGTCAAGTTCTTCCCACATAATTGTGAAGAATTGGATACAAATACCCAAGACTTATGTAACATTAGGTGCTATGACGTGCATCTGTAGGCCCAGGACTTCTATTGGGGAGGGCAGGCAAACGAGGGAGGTTCCCGGAATGCTCACGGGCCCACTAGCCAGGCATACAACACAGAGCAACAAAGATATACTGGATTAAACGAGGTGCAAAGTAAGGGTGTCCTCTGACTTCTATGCATAGGCTGAATTTATTGCAGACTTGCCTCCCCCTACACACACACACATAAAAGAACAAACCCGAAAAATGGAGTATACTATCTGTGAGGGAACTCGTGACAACGCCCGTGCTAATTCTTCTCCCACGCTTAAGCTTGTTTAAACTGCATCTGATCTGTTCTTACTCTAAGAGCACCAAAGCATGCTGGCTTTAATCCACTGTTAGCAAGGAGGATTCTTTAGGATTTGTGTTCAGCTCGTTAAGGAGCGAGGCACTAATAGAGGCCTGACACAGAGGAAGGCTAATCATTACCGGTCGATTCGCCCCTGTCAATTATTAGCTGGTTATGAGTCTGTACTTTTTGTTATCACCAGTGACAGAGGCTGTTAAAACGCACACGGGTACATTATCGTTATCGATTCTCTCTGAGCGTTCTGATGTTCTCGCCTGACGAAGTCAGTGCCATGGGAAGGTGCAATACCTAACACAGTCCATGCCGCAGGACACCATTTTGAACACCAATACATAAAAAGGCAAACAGCGTCCAACAGTGTTGAAGGAGCTGAGGGCTGCTTTCCTGCCACCCAGCTCCCAGCTGCCTGGTTAGCTTATGCCCCGAAATAACAACACACAAATTGTATTCTTTTAAACACTGCTTGGCCCATTATATCTAGCCTCTTCTCGGCTAACTCTCGCACCTTGGACTAGCCCATTTCTAATAATGTGTGTAGCACCCCAAGGTGCGCTTACCGGGAAGATTCTAGCCTACGTCCATCCTGGGTCGGAGCTTCATCGCGTCTGCCCCAGAGAGCACTGGCCTGGCATCTGAGCTCACTTCCTCTTCCTCCCAGCATTCTGTTCTGTTTACTCTACTCACCTATGTTCTAACCCATCAGGGCCAAGCAGTTTCTTTTTTAATTAACCAATGACCTTCCTCCATCACAACAGTCCAGTAGAGACGGTGGTTAATTCTTTATTTTCTTCCAGGAAACAACTACGTCATTCACCGTAACAGCTGTGAAGTAGAAGTCAGCCGTGTGGCTAACCGGGTCCTCGATGAGCTGGTTAGACCATTTCAAGAGATCCAGATAGATGACAATGAGTATGCGTGTTTGAAGGCCATTGTGTTCTTTGACCCAGGTGTGTTTTCAAAACTGTGAAAATTAGTAGCGTGATACTTAAACCATCCTTCCCCACCTTATAGAGTCTTCCGTCTGCTGGCCTCCTAAGCATGCCTATGTCTGTTCCCTCACCAGATGCAAAGGGACTGAGCGACCCCGTGAAGATTAAGAACATGCGGTTCCAGGTCCAGATCAGCCTGGAGGACTACATCAACGACAGGCAGTATGACTCCCGGGGCAGGTTCGGGGAGCTGCTCTTGCTGTTGCCCACCCTGCAGAGCATCACCTGGCAGATGATTGAGCAAATTCAGTTCGTCAAACTGTTCGGCATGGTCAAAATTGACAACCTCCTCCAAGAGATGTTGCTGGGCGGTGAGTGCACTTCCGCACTTCCTTATCGCTTAGCTTTACTGCCCATGCACAAGAGGAGGGTGCCCCTTTATTTCCTTTGGCCTAGAGTTACTTCATTAGTTTGAGGTTCCCATTCCTCCCTGTTGTTGGTCTTCTAACAGGGCATACAAAATCTAGTTTGCTACACATAGAGAGTCTACATTATGTGAGGTAGACAAAGGATCTTGAATAGATTACCATGCTAGTTCTCCCTAGCCCTTGGCATCGCTTGTGGGCTGGCCTCTTTGACTTCAATCCTCAGACTCTTCCATGTGTGCTTACTAGTGTGCTCACTAGAATGCATTCCCCGCTTTGAGGGCTTTGAGAAGTATGAATTCTTCAAGGGCTTTGAGAAGTATGGATTCTTCAAGGGCTTTGAGAAGTATGGATTCTTTTGACTTTCACTTCCTTAAAAGTCTAAAAACAAAGAAATTGCTGCTTAACCCATATATGAATCAAATGACTGAAAAATGAACACTTTGCCCCTGAAGGAATTAGCTGACATAAACTCGTAGAAGAAGAAAATGCTACTTCAGGGTTGCAATAAATGTCAGGAATAAGTTAAGGAATCGTTATTTTATGTTCTGATTTAGATTAAATTTCCTTGGAAAATCACTATATCTATTTTTAGTTTTCTGGTACTTAATGTGTTCCTAATGTTATCTTTCCGAAATAAAAGTTGTTCATACCATTAGGGTGAATCCAAATACTATAAACTTGAGGTAAGTGATTCTTGGAATTGCTTTAACAACAGGCAAGAAACCTAATGATTCCAGGAAACAGCACACAAGGTCCATTATTAATACTCAATATTATGATATAGCATTTATTTCTCCAATGCACCATGAAAGCGGACATTGTCTTTAACATGGGGGTAGCACTCTACATTCGTTTCTGAATTTTTTCCATATGTGCTTTGCAAATAGTAGCATTTAAATGATCCTTGGAAACGTGCATCAAGGTGAAGCCACAGTAAATGTCACTAATGCAACCTTTTTATGTCTTTCATAGGTGCTGCCAATGAGGGAAGCCATCTCCATCACCCAATGCACCCCCATTTGTCTCAGGATCCACTAACTGGGCAAACGATACTTTTAGGTCCCATGTCCACATTGGTTCATACAGACCAAATCTGTAAGTATCTGAAGAAACCCCATCTGTAACATCTCTTAACTTTAGTTATTTGGGGAAATTATAACTTAGGATGGGAAACTCTCAGTTCCCAGTAACTGCAGATCTTAGATGGGATTTCCTCCACCGTAGTTACAAGTATGAGACTTAAATACTCCGATCATTACTTACTCTCTCAAGGTATGAGTTCAAATCCAAGACTGAAGATTTAACACTTAATTTTTTTTCTATTCTATAAGTCTGGGCAATATAAAATATACAGATAGTGTCTGCTTGGTGTTGGTGTAGAGCCATACAAATAGCCATTAAATGGAAACTAACAAATTGTAATAAACAATAGGCTAATAATGGTTGATCATAACCTGTAAAATTGGTAAAATACCAAAAGCTCTTCACTACAGATAGAAAACATTTTAAAAAATTGAAGAAATAAATGTGATATAAGGGATCAAAACAGTGAGAAGTCACACATTATAATTTTGTTGTTAAAAATAGAACAGACTAGTTTGAGCATTCGTTGCTGCCTTCTTTCATTAGAAGAAATCGTTCTAGGGTTTGTGGGACCAGAGAGAATGGATCCTGTAAGTGAGGTGAACTAAAGTATGTGGTAGCCAACTTTACTCAAAGTCTGGGACAATTTATGCTGTGAGGGTTAAGAAAGGTCACCTAAGTAAAGTTCTCCTGAGTTTGAACTGATACAATCACAAGGACAAGACACATGTGGCAAAAACACATTTTTCCATACAAAGAATAAAAGTTTAAATATTGAATTGAATAACAATAACAAGCAATAGTGAGTACCCCGAAATAAATTCATTCCCATATTTTCCACCCAGAGGAGTACAAAACACATTCTAAAAACAATTACTTGTTTTGAAGAAGCTGAAGTCATAAGATTCTTGTATTGTTTTCTTGACTGTTCTCACAGTCGCTCAGGGTTCTCCTCATAGGACTTCCATCCTGGTCCGTGTCCTGACAGAAAGGAAACAGTTTGAGTGGATGGTGGTCAGTTTTTCCCTTTCAGAAGCTTGAACCAACTTTCCGCATCTTACCTTTTCTGTGTTCAATGTCCCGATGTAGCTGTGTAAATTTGTTCATTAGGACTTTTTTCTTTGCTGATTTCACTTCCATTGCTTTTTTTTTTTTTTAAATCAAACTTTCTCTCCCTTACACAAACAAATATTCCTTCCTAAGTTCCTAAATGCATGTTTCTAGCCTTGAACAGCAGTAATATCTGCAGAGCTGTTTCTGCTATCGTCCTGTGTAGACTTGAATTTCAATTTCCAGCATTATTGTTTATTATTTCTTCATTGCTTATCATTGCTGTTGGTCAGTTCTTTCAATTATCCAGTTTCATAACTGGTTACCAGAGATCATTATTGTGATGACAAGAAAGAAGACAACTACATGCTGTGTCCTTGCCTAAGCTAAACAAAAGATGTCAGTGGCCCATCACAGACAGAGATGCATTGTGATCAGTGGCTGATCAAAATGGCATCTGTTATTTAGGAAGTGGTTTCTAGATGGAAGATTGAGACTAAGTTTTGTTTACGCAGGTATTCGTAATTGTAAGTTACCATGGTAACTGGATTTTAAACCATGTTGTTAAAAGATTAGTGCATTTTAACTAAGCTATGGTAACTACAATTACAACAAATAATAATTGTGCAAAATGTGGCTACTTAAGAAAATTCTTTAGAATTTGAAAAACTGTTAAGTGTTATAAGTTGTTGGTGGCCATGTTAACCACTCATTGGTGTAGGTTTAATGCAAGTTTGACTTTTTAATGTTACTCTGGGGATAAAGATTCTATTTAACATGGCATCTAGATTGATTGGTTAATCATCTGTGAATCAGTGTTCATCACTATGGCAGGAACTAAGAGGGACTGACTGCTCACCAGAAAATATTGATTTTGGTACCTGGTCTCAGTGCTTTCATGATGTGCTTGCTACACACACTCTGAAGGGAGAATGGCAAGAAAACTTAAGACAGGGCTTAGTGCAGTAGAACTTCTCCTTTCAAGGCAGGTGAGAAGCAGAGAATGAGAGACAGGAATGGGGGAACCACTTTCCAGAGGCATTCCCCAAAGATCTACTTCCAGCTGAAGTTTCCACCACTCCCCAAGGCACCACCAATTTGAGGCTAAGCCATCCATATGTGGTCTGAGGGAAATGCCTCATATTAAAACATAAAACAATGCTTATGAATCTGTACCTATTAATCCAAAATTTACTTGTCATCTGCTTTCTTTTAATATCAAATCAGGTAACATACTTCACTGGCTTTTGCTGTAGTGACAGAATTTTATGCATATTTGCATTGCCTACTGAACATAAAATCATCTTTAATAACTATTTATAATGTTGGTGTGCCCACATGGCCCATGTAATTTCACATTTTTGGAGTTCCACTTGACTGGCTTTTAAAGAAAAACTTGAGCTTGTTCGTGCTTGCTTGGAACTGTTTGTATTTTATGCAAAGCGAGACATTAAACATCAGCTAAAAGAAATCAGTGGTTTTTTGATCTTTATAGAAGATCCCTAAAATTTAAAACTGCTCTATTTGTCAAGAAATAATTTGAGTAGAAAATTTCTGTATTTCTATTCAAACAAGCCACATTAAAGAGAGACATACATAGATCTAATCTACATGGGAAGGAGAAAAAGACAAGATCTCCTGAGTAAATTGGGAGCATGAGGACCTAGGAGATGGTTGAAGGGGAGGGGAGAGGTAGGGAGGAGAGCAGAGAAAAATGTAGAGCTTAATAAAAATTAAAAAAAAAAGTGCTGCTTTTTGTGGGGCAGTGGTGGTACACGTTTTTAATCCCAGCACTTGGGAGGCAGAGACAGTTGGATCTCTGTGAGTTCAAGGCCAGCCTGGTCAACAAGAGCTAGTTTCAGGATAGGCTCCAAAGCTACAGAGAAAGCCTGTCTCGGGAAAGATTTTTGAAGTAATTGCTAATCCATACTTAGCAATAATATAAGGTATTAAAGAATAGCAGCCATAAGGAGATTGTTCTTGTTTTTATATGCATTCTTTAAAAACTGAAAAATCTATGATGTTTATAATGTGAGCAAACATTTAATACTAGTTATAGCAAATATTTTGTTTTTTAAAGTTAAAGGATATCATAGATTTTATTTTACAATATACTAAAATTCCACGATAGGAAGGAATACATTCCTGCTCAATAAAGTATTCAAACTACATTTCAAAAAAATTTTCAATTCAATTTTTTATATTCAATTACTTTCTATTTGATTATGCAGGTTTGCTCTTAGCATTGAAGGGGAAGGAGCAGGCCGGCTCAATTGTAATAGGATTGTATAGCAACAAACTAGCGTGCTCCAGAGGTTATGGGCTGTGGCTTCGATTTCAAAACTCTTGTAAAGCAGCTGAACTTTAATTTTTAGATCATATAAAATGTATAGAATGCAAGCCACATATATGTTCATTTTATACATATCTTGACTAGAGATGTTATGAAGATTGCCCTTTCTAATATTTGAGATAAATCAACATTCTAATAATTGTCTTTAGTAAGTTCTTTCTTCTGGGTGTGTAGGAGAACACATGAAAGCCAGGAAACATCTTGAAGTGAGAACAGATTGCTTAGCATGATAGTCTCTCATTGTTTAACTCTATGTGGGAAGGGAGGATGAGCATCTCACCATTAGTGTGTCAGGGGCCTGATAATTCATTCTAAACATCAATGCTTTACATGTGACCTTTTCCCTAAATATACTAATGCCTATTGACATTCTGTAGGACCTTGTGTGGTGCGGCAGAGAGACGGCTAACATACACTATTCTGTGTTTCCTTTTCAGCAACTCCAGAAACCCCACTCCCTTCCCCACCCCAGGGCTCTGGGCAAGAACAGTACAAAATCACTGCGAACCAGGCGTCTGTCATTTCACACCAGTCCCTCTCTAAACAAAAGCAGTTGTGAGAAGGTGCTCACTTCTGAATGGTACTGTGTAAATGTGAAACCCACTGCTCTTGAAATGTCTCGGGATGGTACTTTTGCCAACTTTTAGGCAAGGCTTGCTTCTCCATGGTGCTGTTGTAAGGTGGTATCCTATTTTCTTGTTTGTAACCACATTATGCTTATTGTTGCTGTAAAGGAAAGCTTTCACATGCAACCTCTGTATATTTGAATTTGAAGTTTTTTTTTTTTTTTAATAGTGTATTGTTTCCAACTATTCCTGCACTGTGCCCACGCTACTGGGATCTTATGTATGGCTTTCTTTTTCTTTTTTTTTTCATAATATTAATTTAAATCTGTAAATAATTGCTTTGTTATAATGTGGTGCAGAATTAAATGTTCTTATTGGTTAAAAGTAGATCAGCAACACTAGGTAATATAAAAATAAACCAATTATTTTAAAAAATAAATTGTAAACTTGAAGATTAGAGAAGGTGAAATAGAGCATTTCTCGAAAGGATAATAGTCAGGGCCTTCTGCTACCTGCAGCAAATGTTTCCGTGTTAACTTCAGAGAACTAATGCCATTTTAAGGATGACTGGATATACTCTGCAATGTGACTAAATTTGAAGAGGTCTGCTAAGGAAAGGCATGTTGGTTCTTTTAGTGATGATACAAGCCATAGTAAAACAAAGTCATGCCAAGTAATGGCTCAATATAAAGGAGAATTCATGTCTCACTCATAGGAAATATGGAAAGTCACTCATTCATTAGACCTTGGCGCATGCCCACACCAGCTCTCTGGGAAACCAGGAAAGTCTTTCTATGTAAACGTGTGTCAGCTCAAGTTATACAACTCTGGGAGAAAGGACACCGGAGAACATGTCTTTGAACACATTTGTGCAAACCCAGATCTGGTTGGTTTTAATGAGACTGGGTAAGGGTGTGGTTTTTAAAATATACCCAGGCTAACAATGGAATATTATTTGCCAATAATGCTCATGAATGAAGGTAACAAGTACACAACAGCTTACAATATTTGCAATGAGGATAAGAGATCAGTTTTGTACCTTTTGCAATCCTCACATCTTTCCCTATAAAACTAAAGAACATAAAAGTACACAAGATTGGTTTTGATGACTTAGGGAAATTTGCAGCATAGGAATATACTGAACATAATTCTTGACTGAAAAGTAGCCCCAACTCGTTTGATGTAGTACCTACATCTGGAATTTATTTTCAAGGCATTAATTATAGGACACCTTATGAAGCAGCAATAGCCACACCTCTGCGTGTACTTGCTCTCCTTCTCCCAGCCTTTCTTGTTCTTTCCCTTTTATATTTACAGAAGTAGTGAAAATGGTTGAATACATAAATATAAATATTATTATATAAGTATATAAAATCGAATATATATCAAAAGTTAAAAAGCATTCAAAGTTGTAAGATTTTGGGTTAAGGTTTTCCAGGGACCTTCCCAGTTTCTCAGACTTGAGTCATTGTTTCCACCTTCCTAGTAGTACAAAGACCATTTTCATATGAACTAACTCGGCTCTAAAAGTGAAGTAGTCTGACAGCTATCAGCACTTTCATAGAATCACCTGTATTTCTTCAAATGCAACTAACCTTCTAAACTAAATTATAACATTGAGTGAGTGAGGGGGAAGGCAAAGAGAAAGAGTGGTTCCTTAATTCTTAATATTTTGAAAATTTACTCTTGTTCCATGAAACAAGCAAGTAACTAAATCTCATCAGTATAAATATCATTTGTAGGTTTTGTTTCCTTCTTTAATGTTATTCTCCTAAAATAAAAAACTAGTCTACCTGGGCCACTATAAGAAAATATCATATATGGGGAAAAGTAAACAACAGAAATTTATTTCTCATTGCTGTCCATGTTAGGAAGCCCATGAGCAAAGAATTATCAGATTCTCTCTCTGATCTATAGATGGCTATTTGTGAAACAACTCTCAGGGACCACTTTTGTACGAATACAATTCTCCCTCATGCAGGCTCAGCCCTCGTGACCTCTTTACCTTCCAGTATACCCATCTCTGCATAGCATCATATTTTTGACTGTGTAGCAACATAAGTGAGGAGGCATTTGGGCATTCAGACCATGGTAAATCATCTAAAAACACAGAATATAAAATTTATATTTTAATGAATAATGTGTTCATAAAAATTTATGAAAAAGTTATGTTTAAAAACTATTGCTAATAACTTTGTTTTGATAACTATTGTCAGGGAATTTGTAATATAGTATTTTTATACATCAAGCTGCCAGAAATGGTGGACAAAGAAGAACTGATGTTTTCAATGTATTATCATGATATTGTTAAGAAAAGTCATTGCTTTTATAAAATACACTTTTTCAGGTGACAGATATAAATAATTTATTGTGAGATAACAATTCATTTTATAAATGCAAAATTATTTTTATAAATTTCATTGTTGAAAATCAGAAATGAGTACCTTTTTAAATGTTGAATTACAGTGAGATTAAAATATTTCTAAACTGTGATGCCTGTTTTACTGAGCTTTCTAAATAAAAACCAAGAAAATATAGCTAAAATGAGATGCTTCATTAGTATTTAAAACTATTTTTATCACTTTGGAAATACATTGCCATTTGTATTGTCAGTGTGTTATATTGCTATGGAGTGGTCTTTATACAACAAAGATTGATTTTTAGCACATATATACATACATACACACATGTGTATATGTATATGTATATATACCTCTATTTATATACCTGGGTTGATTTCTAATTTGGTATCAGTTATTGATAAATATGACCAAAATAGCCTACTGCTAATCTAATACTGTGCTAGTCTTTTCAGTGTCTGTGATTAATCACAAAAACCAAGGCAATTTATTGAAGAAATAGTTTATTTGTGCTTTTTGTTCCAAAGCAATAAGAGTCTATTACCATGACAGTAGGGGAAGCGGCAGGCACGTGGCAGGCATGACCTCTGTAGTAGAACACTTGCATCTTGAACTGCAGCCATGAAGCTGAATAAGAAAACTAAAGACTACCCAAATCCTACCTAGAGCCATACTTCCCCCAGCAAGGCCACCTTCCAAAATCTACCCAAATAGTCTCCCCAACTAGGGACCAGTTATTCAAAAGCCCCAGTCAATGGGGGGAGGGGATGGGCATCTAATTAAAACCATTACACCTTAAAGATTTTAGGTGTGAAGTTTATAAATGTTGATGACCAATGTGATGGTTAATTTTGATTGTAAAATACACAGTGCCTAGAATCACCTAGAGGCAAATCTCTGGATACCCCCAAGAGATTTCATGGATAAGGTCATCCTCTGGGCACACCTGAGAGAGACTCCATGGATTAGGTCATCTTCTGGACACACATGAGAGAGATAGCATGGATTAGGTCAACCTCTGGACACACATGAGAGAGACTCTATAGATTAAGTCATCCTCTGGACACACAAGAGAGACTTCATGGGTTAGGACAACCTCTGGTCATATCTAAGAGAGATTCCATGGATTAGGTCAACTTCTGGACATACCTGAGAAAGACTCCATGAGTTAGGTTATCCTCTGGACACATTTGAGCTGAGAATGAGAGTTCTCTGTGAAAGCGTTGCCTATGTTACAAAATTGTCATGGTCAGTATACCCTGCCCCCTACCCAAAACACTCCAGCTCATGAGCTTCCCTTCCCCAAGCCTCTCTTCCCTGTATAACCCAGCCATTTATGTCACTCAGTCTCTTTGGCCTCTTGGCCTCTGAATTCCCAAGTACTCTCTTTGTTCCATTTCTCTGCTTTTTTTTTCTTGCTCTTCTCCTGTCCCTCACCACATGGCCTGGTTCAGGCTAGACCCTTCCAGATGCAGCATCTATTCTTTATATTACCATAAACCTTCTCATCACCCATACCTAGTGGCAGTCAGGTCCTCAATTTTTTCATTCACTTGATGCTAAAACCATAAAAATCTCATAGATGAATTCCCTTCCAAGGAACTCAGCTGCTCCAAGCCACACTGCTGATTTGATGCTCTTAAATATGCATAGATTATTTGTTTCTCTGGCTTCTGCCTCCCACCAAATTTGATTCCAAATACTAGAGTCCACTTCCATTTAACTCCTTTCTAAACAAGAGATATTCCCACTTGAAGGGTGTCTACTCCATAAGAATACCCCTTGAATCTAGCCTGCTATATCTTCCTGGTACAAATGTATATACCCTCCACATGGTAATCTCTCTCTTTTTATAGATATTCACTTTTGCTCATTCAAAAAGAAAGAATATTAAAAGCTGCAAGAGGAAAATACCACTTAACAGAAAAAGTCAGAACTATTAGAATTACATATTACTTCTCAATAGAGACTCTTAAAAACTGAAGGGCTTGGAAAGATGTACTACAGACTCTTAAGAGATTACATATTCCAGTTCAGACTACTATAACCAACAAAACTTTCAATCACAATAGGTAAAGAAAATAAAACATCCCATGTTAAAACCAAAGTTAAGCAATGTCTAGCTACAAACCCAGCCCTACAGAAGGCACTAGAAGGTAAACCTCAACCTGAGGAGGTTAGCTACACCCAAGAAAACACAAGGAATAAATAATCCCAGACAAGCAAATCAAAAGAAGAAAAGCACACACACATCATACAACAAAAATTATGGAAATCAACAACCACTGTTCATTAATGAAACTCCATATCAATGGTATCAATTCTACAACAAAAAGACAGATTAACAGAATGGATGACAAACAGTATCCATTTTCTGCTATATCCTAGAAAAACAGTTTACCACCAAGCATAGACATCACTTCAAAGTAAAAAAAAATGGAAAAAAGATTTTTCAACCAAATTGAACTAAGAAAAATGGTGTAGCCATTCTAATATCTGACAAAATAGGCTTTAATCAAAAATTAATCAAAATAAATAGGGAAGGACCCTACATATCCATTAAAGAAAAACAAATCACCAAAAGGACATGACAATTCTTAAATATGATATACCTGACATAAGGGTTCCCAAGTTCATAAAACAAATACCACTACAGCTTAAATACCATTGACATCAAACACTGATATTGCAAGACTTCAATACCCTACTCTTTCTAACAGACAGGTTGCCCAGACAAAAGCTAAACAGAGAAATGCTGCAGCATTGTTATAAACCAAATGAACCTAACAATTATTTATAGAATATTTTACCCAAACACAAAAGAATATACCTTTTTCTCAGCAATTCATGGGATAGTCTCAAAAACTAAGTACATTCTTGGACATAAACAAGACTTAACAGATTCAAGAAATTGAAATAACATTCTGCATCCTATCTACCCAGCATGAAATAAAGTTATATTTCAACAAAAACAGATATAACAAAAAGCTTATAAAATCATGGACACTGAACAACTCACTACTGAAAAAAATGGATTAAGAAAGAATATGAGGCAAACCAAAAGGTGAGTGAACAGACAGCCAGCTTGGCAACCTACTGTCTAGGCCTTCAGTACCTGAACAAAATACAGGAGCCCCTTCCCCACCTGCCTCAGCTTCACTAGCCAGTGAGCCAGCAAGCTTCCTGCAGGTAGGCTACTCCAACCCACCAAAGGTTGGCACTGTAAGCTACAAGGCCCATTCTGCCCAGAAACCCACCTGCTGTACGAACTCCTTCAGTCAGTAACCTTTAAGATGTCCAAGGATGAAAAGTTATCCTTAATGAAAAAATTCCATACCTTGACATCATATGTGTAGAATGAGGACCAGAGGTTAGGTGAGTCAATGAAATCATTAGAAATATTCATAGGGTAAGATATCTAGGCTTTACAAGAGACAGTGGTAAAAAGGTTTGAAGTGATTGAGGAAATTATCAGAACTGATGAGCAGGTTGAGAAGGTACAAGGAAAGGATTTTAAAAGGCTAGTACTTGTCAGAGATGACTTGCCAAGACTTTTAGCTATTTACACCATAAACACCTCTGACAAACTGCCAAATACTAAATACCCAAAAAGATCCAAAGAATGTAGATGGAAACCTATAGGTATGAATGATCTAAAAGAAATGAAGGGAGCAGTAGTATCTTATGGTTTGCATTCGCCATTAGCTACTGGAGAAGGTAAAGACATGGGCTTCCAGCAATAAGGCTACCCCACACAACTGGCTTTAATTAGTTTCAATGGTCCTGGAAGATGGACAGCAACTGCAGTGGAAATGCTACTATTAAGAAGAGGCAAAAATTTTAGAACAACAGGGAAAAGCAAAAGGATTTGAGGTACCTCATGACAAAATTCTGGCTAGGTCACTTATGCTGAGCCACATGATCAAGCTCTTTATGATGAACACATCTTGTCCCTATGACACACAGCAGCTATAAATGCTTGGGACAGGATTCAAGAATAGGAAAACAACTGAATCATATAATAATATCAAACAAGGCCAAAGAAAACAACAAGGTAATTTAACTTATGGGTCCTCTACAATCTGGAATTCTTGCTTTCCCTGTTACCTAAAGGATTGCTTCTTATAGTTACTGATTTAAGAAGTTGTTTCTTCACTATACCTTTACAAGAAAAGGACAGAGAAAAATTTGCCTTCACAGTGCCTACTTATAATATTTCTCAGCCTATTAGAAGATATCAATGGATTGTCTTCCCACAGGGAAAGCTCAATAGCCTCACCCTATGCCAATATTTTGTAAGTAAATCATTGGATAAAATATGTAAACAATTTCCTACATCTATAATTTACTATTACTTGGATAATATTTTACTGTCTGATTCAAAGGTAGATACTTTAGAAAGGATGTTTTAAAGAAATGGACTTTACAAATTGATCCTGAAAAACAAAAGAGGAGATTTGACCAATTACCTAGGTTACAAAATAGGTTTACAGAAAATTAGAACACAAAAAGCTCAAATTAGGACCTTGAGAGCTCAGTCCATTGCTCCAATGTGGGTCTCTGTCTCCATCTCCATCCATCACAAGATGAAGGTTCTATAGTGATATGCAGGATATTCATTAGTATGGCCATAGGATCGGGCCATTTCAGGCTTTCTCTCCTCAGCTGCCCAAGGACCTAGTTGGGGACATCTCTCTGGACCCCTAGGAACCCCAGAGGCTTTGTGGGAGCCTAGCCTGTTTGGATGCCCACCTTCCTACACCTGGATGGAGGGGGGAGGACCTTGGACTGCCCACAGGGCATGGAACCCTGACTGCTCTTCTGACTGGAGAGGGAGGGGGGAGGGGAGTGAGGAGTGGGATTGGGGGGGGGAGGGAAGCAGGGAGGAGGCGGAAATTTTTAATAAAAAAATAAATAAATAAAGCTCAAATTAGGAGAGACTAATTGTGGACTCTTAATGACTTTCAAAGATTACTAGAAGACATTTGCTTTATGACCCAATGAAGGAATAACACCTGATCTAATAGTTCATTTATTCAAAACCTTAGATGATGACAAAGACTTAAATAGCCCCAGGGAATTGACAACTGAAGCCAAGAAAGAATTAATTTAGGATGAAGAGGAATTAAAAAA